AGCGGCTCAGCACCCTCACAGGGAAGAGCTCCTGCCTAAGAGCTCATCTCAGTCTCTCTTTTAAAGCCATCGCTCCTTATCCTGTCACTACAATCCCCAATGGATGGCCCCCACTTCCTGTAGCCCCCGTTAGGGACTGGAAGGACACTCTGAGGCTCCCTGGAGTTGTGGAGGGTCTTTGGCAGGAGTGAGCCCAGAGATGTCGATGGTCCATGGTGAAGGGGCAGGACAGGACAACCCTCTGCAGACCTCAATCTCTTTATTAAGAAAAAGGCATATTACAACAGCTCCTAAAGTACAGCTCCATACTCTAGTTTCTGGCTATTAAATGCGTTTTGAAAAGCACTTGGTTAAAAAGCAAAGTCGACGTCAGCATCGTCCTGGCGAGCAATGGTGTTATGATGGAGAACGAACATTCAGATCAAGCAGAGCAGTGTCAGACCTTTGGCATCGGCTCTCCCCAGCACGCGGCTTTCACTGTGCTCAGCCAAGCTCACAACCGCAGCCAAGGAGAGGCTGCAGCTGCCGGGGGCACAGGGAGCTGCACCCGGGGTGCCCCAACTTGTCCCCACCAGAGCCCTCTCCGGGGTCCCTCTGCCCTGGCACAAGCGGTGTCCCCCATGGAGAGGCCTCAGCAAGGACCAGACAGCGGTGACCCTGGAACACCCGAGTGAACACAGACATGGGGGAGCTGGGGTTCGGTGCCTTACCCCCATCCCCTGTGGGGAACAGGTCTGCTTTACAGGCAGGCATACAGACTGGGGGGGTCCCACAGCCCAGCGTCACATTCCTGCTATAGCTGCAATGGTGGGAAAGCTCCTTTGGAAGCTGCCAGCACATTGAGATCTATTGGGAGGAGGCAGGAGCACCACTGCTGCCATGGGGAGGGGGGGGGTGTTGGTGCACCCCTGCTCCAGCCTGAAGGTGGGAGGGAGGCAGGTCTGGCGCAGTGACAGTGCTGAGTGTCCTGCACCGTGTGCCCCCCTTTCCCACGGCTGTAGCAGGGAGCTGGGATGCAGCGATGCAGCATCACTGCAGGGCCAACCCTTGGGCAGTGCTGCTGGGAGGAGACAGAGGCAGGAACCAGCCCTGGGCAGCAAAGGGCAGCTCAGATCAGCGCAGTGACACGGTGCTGTTATCTGTGTGCTCCCACAGCCCACATCTGCTGGTGGGGTTCTGTGCTCATCGACCCCAGCTTCCTCCTGCTCACCCGGCCCAGCACAGCGGCATCACTGATCTTATCCACAGCATGAGGCAACCTCTGGGCGTACCGGAGTTTTCTCTCCCCTCCTATCACATTCCCCATAGGACTTGGCAGCCAGGCACCCACGGTGCAAGAGGGTGACAAGAACAGACGTGCACTGGGGCGGCCGTGGCATCGCTGCAGGCTCCTCACGGCTGCTGGGAAGCGAGGGCTGGTGTTCTCCAGAAGGGCAGGATGATGCCATGGCTTCACCAGGCAGAAAGAGCCGGTTCTTGAGGCTGCACACAAGGACCCCAAAATAGGCCCTGAAAATGACAGTCCCTCAGCGTGCTGCTGATTTACCTCCCATGGGGAGAGGGACCCAGCCAGTGCTGTGGGGCAGCTGCTCTGCTGCCTCCAGGGAGCTCACTTTGAGGAACTCATGCATGGAGATGCTCTGTGCAGAGCAAAGCAACCCCTGATGCTCCAGGGTGTCTCTTGCCATGCTGCTGCCAACTCACCCGGGCACACAGGCGGGACCAGCCTGAGCCCCCCACAGCATCCACCCCGCTGACACCCGTCACACTGCACCCAGCTCCGCTGCAGTGGGGGTTACAGGGCTCTGCCTCAGGTGAAGCTTCCCCGAGGCCGCAGGACCCGGCCCTGCTGTGCACAGCTCTTGTGCAGTGTGGGGAAGGTCCTGCAGCCTCCCGCGGGGCTGCGGGGAGCGGCTGCACTGCTCAGGCACCCTCACGGTGGGATGGGGAGGATGCTGCGGGGAGCGCTCAGACCCCCCCAGGAAACACATTCAGAAAATATGGCTTTTAATTAACAGGGTCAAGAGGGGAACTTCCCGGCTGGAGCGGGGGGAACGTGCACCAAGCCACCGGCTCTGCCTCCCGGCGCCGCCGGCTCTGGCATTGGCACGGCGCAGCGAGCAGAGCGGGTGCAGCTCCTCCCCACCACCGCTCACCCCGCACAGTTTGAGACATCGCTTCCTCAGCGGGCATTAGGAAAAACACTAATGAGGAGCAGGGAGCTTAGCAAAGCCAAAGCAGCAAACCCATGAGCGCTGCAGAGCCAAGGGGGGGCAGAGCGGTGCCGGCTCTTGGTCTGTGCGCAGAAAGCTCCCAGCACAGGAGAGCTGTACACATGAGACATTGTTTAACAACCGAGCATTATTGCTATGATCCATTTCCAGTCCAACCTTTCAGCTTTACATTAAGCATTGCTTGTTCCACAAAAAGCACGTGGGGTCAGCGGTTACACTCCTTGCTCTGTGCACCCTCTGGACCCCCAGGGGGTCTGAACTGACTGACTGCACCTACAGAGCTCGCTACACCCTCCAGGCTAAGGGCTGAAACAGCCTGGGGAGCTGCGGGGTCTGCAGGAGCCCCCGACCCAGGGAGGGGAGCACAGGCACTGCCTGGGCTCCCGCTGCTCCGGGCTGTGGCTGACAGCAGCCCCCTCAGTGACAAACAGGAACGCTGTCTTCTTGTTCTTCCATCCTTGATCATTTTGATCCCTTTGATCATTTTATATAAATACAAAGATTAAAATAAATTATCTCAACATCGTTTCTATTACAATCATACAGTGTTTTTCCTTCAAAACGTGTGTATATATATTTATATATATATAAGTGTATATATAGCATCTCTAAAGCTCCCCCCCAAAAAAAGCAGCAGTGACTGAAGCAGGTACAGCGCGCAGGAGCTGATCCTTCCCGCTCCAGGGAAAAGCACAGGGATCACCCCACCAGCTCATTTCCAAGCACATTACATTGGCATGGAGGGGGAACTGGGGTGCTCCCTCTCCATCCCTTTGGGACCTCCCCCTCACCGTAGGCAGCTATTCCTGCACATCCAAGGGCCGTGGGGCTCGGGGCCTGCCCAGCCGCCCGCCAGCACCGGGGAGCACCGGGAGGAGGGGAGCAATGGGGGGCCTGGAAATGAGATCACTCCTTGAGCAAGCTGCTAATTAGTGGTGGGGAGGAAGGGATCCTGCAGCTCAGACAGGGTTGCTTCATTTACATACTAGGCACTAAAACTGCTGATTGCTAGGCAGGTATTTACACAGAAGAAGGATCAATGTCTCCCTCCCCTTTTCAATGCTCAGGTCAGTCATGAACACCATGATCTTACCAATAAAAATGCATCATTCTCTATCGGGATTGTCTAGGGAGGAGAGGGGAAGGCAGCTGTGCACACCACAGCTAGCAGAACAGCCGAGCAGCACAGGGGCACGCGTGACCCTCTTTCACGTGGAAAGGGAATAGAGACAAATGCTCAGCAGAACCTCTCTGAACCTGAGAGAAACGAAGATTTCCAGAGGCCAAAACGGCACCTCCCCTGCATCACACCACAGGGACCAGGTGGCTGTGATGCTGCACCAGTGCAGTGCAGCACAGGCTGCCCCTCGCCACCCCACTCTGCCTCCCATGGGTGGGTGATGGCTGGGCCCCAAGCACACCCCAAGCTCTGCAATGGGAGCCAGGCTGGGGCTTGTCTCCCTTGTGCAACTGTACCACACTCGTGCCAATGCACCCCACTGTGCCCTGGCTCCCCTCCTGCCTCGGGAGGGCAGTTGGGGCACACAGTGCTGGGCAGCCAGGGCATGAGAGCACCCTGCAGTCCTTCCCAGGGTGGCAGCAGGGGAGGGCAGGCAGGAGCTGATGGGCCTCTGCTGGTCTCTGTACTCTGGGATGCATCAGGGGCTGCAGAAATCTCCTACTAAAGCTGAACCTCTGCAGGGCTCCACACTGGGCGACTGCTCCCTGGATCCCTGCTAGTGGGGAGCTGCCCCAGTGTGGCTTTGCTGGGCTTCTTCCCAAGCTCAGACTGGGGAGTGGGGGAACAGGAGGGGTCTTGCCTTCCAAAGCTTGACTATTCACATCACAGGCAAATAAATAGCTACAAAATCTGCTAATTCCTGTCCTGCTCGTGCAGCTTGTACGCTATGGGGCTGGTTTGTGCCAATGGCCTAGGGACTGCTGCTGAGAATCTCGTAAAAGCATTTTAATATAGTATATAAATATTGAACTACAAAAATAGACACCTCTGACTGCACGGGCACGCTGCGGGGGAGCTGGGGCAGGCTGAGCCCCACTGTCTGCTAGGGCCATGTTTCTGGAGAGGTCTCACACTGCACTGGAAGGAAATGGGGTTCCCATTGCAGCAGCTCCAGCCACGGAGGCAGTGGGGCAGGGAGAGGCTGCAGGCAGGGATTGGGGCCAGGGCTGCAGCCACACACCAGGGTAGAACCTGCCCCTCGGAGCAGCGCAGGTCCTGATGGTGCCGGAGAAGCGAGCCCTTCTCCCTGCCCTGCCACCAGAGCCCTGTTGTGCTCTCCCTGCTCTGCTGTTTCACAACACCCGGGGGATGGAGGCATGCTTTGTGTTGCAGACCAGGCGAGGCTGCCCGTGCTGCACGGCCGTAGTGCAGGGAGGCCGTGGGGAGGACTGCAGGTGACAAACCCAGACCTGGCTGTGGAGGTGACTGGGAACTGAGATGCTGGTGTCGAGAGGAGACCAGCCCGGCACAGGGGACATGAGCTGCAGCACACGGAGTGAGGCCGTGGTGGGTGAGGAGCCATGCGGGCATCTGTCAGGACCGGTGCTCATGGGTCACCTCCAGCCACCTTGTCCAAGTCCTGTGGGTAAATGCAGAGGCAGACAAACTGCAGCGCAGGGAGCGAGGGAGCGGGACCAGGCTGGCACAGCTGCACTGTGCCCTGCAGGTAGGATCCCTCCTCAGCCACAGGACCAACTCCACTCAGCTGCCTGCAGCCCAGAGCACCTCTCCTGCCCGGCCCAGTGAACGAGCTCATCCTGCTGTGCCAAACCTTGTGCCCCTTGCTTGCTGCTGCACGTCCACCTCCTGGCACCCTGGCCCGGGAAACACACCTGGCATCTGCTCCGAGGGGCAGCAGCAGCAGCAGGAAGCTCTTCTCATTGCCGAAATGCCACCTTTCCTTCCTTCCTTCCTCGGAGCTCTGCACAGGTGCCCAGCCGTGTCCCCTCTGCAGCCCCTGTGCCTGCTGCCCACTGTCCCGCAGCGCTCAGACCCTTTGTGCAAGGGGGATCCTCCTGGCTGCCTGCATCAGGAGGTGCGAGCAAGGCACCCGCCTTCCGCTGCCCCTTCCCCTCGAGGGGACGGGGGGCCGCAGCGCTGGCCGGTGCCCACCCCGGTGCCGCAGGGCTCAGGCCATGCCGGCCGCTCGGCGTCTACTCCTTGGTGCCGGGGGAGCCGCGGGGGCCGGGCTCCTGCCTCTTGCCGGGATCCCCCTTGCCCGACCTGGCCCTGGCCGCGGGCTCCTGCGCGGGGGGCCGGGGCGGCCGCTGTGTGCGGGGGGCCACGGAGGGCTGCGGGCGCTGCGGCCGCGCCGTGTACAGGAAGAGCGCCGGGTCGGGCATGGCGTCGTGCTCCTCGGGCGCGGGGTCCCTGGGCCGGGCACCGTCACCGGGCGGGCGCCGGGGCTGAGCCCTGTGGCCGCGGCGCCGGGGCCTGCCGTCGGCCGGGGCGGTGTCGGGGGGCTGCTGCGGGGCGCGGGGGGCCGGCAGCCGCTGCGCCGTGGCGTGGAGCTGCAGCGAGAGGTACGCGGCCGCCTCCGTCTGCTTCTGCAGCTCCGTGTCGAGGATGGTGACGCGGTGGCTCCGCCGCTTCAGCTGCTCCAGGAACCGGCGCTCCTTGTTGCGGAGGCTGGAGCGCAGCGCGGCCACCAGCGTCTCCTTGTGCTGCAGCTCCTTGCGCAGCTCCAGGTTGTCCTTCTCCTTCTCCTGCAGCTGCGCCTCCATCGCGCGGCACTTCTCCTCCAGCTCCCGGTCCAGCACCTCTGCGGGGACACGGCACAGGCAGGGGTCAGGGCAGGCTCAGCCCCCCGCATGCTCCCAAGAGGACCGTGAGGCCGGGCCACGTGCCGGCACGTCCAGCAGTGCCGTTGAGGCTGCTCGGGTGCTTTCCGGAGCTGGGACTCCCCACGCTCCTCGTGCGCACGGGCTCCCTGCCTTTCCCATGCGCCGTCAGCCCTGGGCTGTAGTGCTGGGACGCAGCGCGATGGGTAACACCCAAACGCAAAGGCACTTTGTGGAGGATGCTGTTGCTGTGGAACTGCCGCCTCTGCCTCGCTGCAGTTTCTGGGCACAGAAACTTCTAAGTGACTGGGCACAGGGCAGCATACAGCTGGGACAGAAAAGGAATGGCTGGCGCTGAAACCATCAGCCCGGTTTAGGAGGGATCTCGCACCTCAAGCCCTGAGGCTCCACAGCCTGATGTGAGGACGGAGGTGCTAATGCAGGATTACAGAGCAGCTCGGCTGTGCTGGCAGGGAGGGAACCTGCATCCTGGGCTCAGGGGATCCTGTCCCCGGTGCAGGATGGCCAGGCAGCCAGCCCCTGCCCTGCTGTCACCTCGTGTCACCTCTGCCCCTGCCAGCAGCCGGCTGCCAGCAATAGGGCTCAGGCAGGATTGGCTACAGCAGAGGTGCTGTGTCAAGCAGCATCTTCCTCACCATTGCCCTCCCTGCCCTTTCCAAACCTCGGCGGGTGACAGGCACCCTCCCTGCCCCGGCCCTTCTGAGTCACGGCACCAGCACCCAACAGTGTGACTTCACGTGGGGCTCTGCACGTTGCTCCTGCACACCCTGCACTGCTCCAGCTTGACACAGGATCATGGAATGGTTTGGGTTGGAAGGGACCTTAAAGCTCATCCAGCTCCAACCCCTGCCAAGGGCAGGGACACCTTCCACTAGAGCAGCTTGCTCCAAGCCCCTGTGTCCAACCTGGCCTTGAACACTGCCAGGGACGGGGCAGCCACACCTTCTCTGGGCACCCTGTGCCAGCGCCTCAGCACCCTCACAGGGAAGAACTTCTGCCTTACACCCAACCTGAACTGTTTGTTTAAACCCTCTCCGGTATCCTTGTAGGCCTCCTTCAGATATTTGAAGGCTGCTATGAGGTCTTCACACATCCATCCATCCATCCATCCATCCATCCATCCATCCATCCATCCTTCCTCCATCCCACCCGCCATGGTGACATCAAGAGAGACTGCACTGAGCAAACACCTGCAAAGGAATTTGGATACCAGAGCTTTGCATTTTCCCTAATCCTTTCTGCCTAAAGCCCTTGCAAGGCTGGAGGGGGTGTGGGATGGAGGGAAGCACTGCACCCACAGCAATTCATGTCACACACAGGGGCATGGGGGCACAGACATCCCCGGTGCCCCTGGCAGCCCTGGCTGTGAGCTGCTGCACCCAGCCCTTGGTGTGGTGAGGAAGAGGAGTGAGGCTGGCACCCGCCTGCGCTCCCCACTCCTGCCCGGGCCTGCTCCCATTGTCTGCAGTAATCTCTGCTTTTTACGATGTGATTTGCAACTGCTTTATAGCCTCAGCTCCTAAATGTCTTCTGCAGAGGAAAAATGCTTTATAATGAGAACTTAAGGGAGGCAGTTGCACGCAGTAATTATCACATGAGTGGCACTTGAAGAGCAATCATTTGATAGCATCTTAAACTAGGTGGTTGCCCCATAAATGTGGCAAATCTGACTGTACTCTCTGTAAGCTGTTAAAAGGCTGAAGGATGGGCAGAGACCTGTGGGGGAGACTCACACATCATGGTCTGTGACACGCTTCCTGCTGCACATCCCAGGGCTGGGAGCACCAAACCCCCTGCAGCCAGCACAGCACTGCCCGAGGTCAGCTTCATCCCTGGGATGGAGGAGGAAGAGGAGGAGCCGAGCTGCTAACAGAGCATCCTTTGCTAGCCACGGGTGCCTGGGCACCACTGCCTGCCCCTGCCCCAGGGCTCTCCAGCCAGACAGGGCTGCGGGTCCCAGCTCAGGGCTGTCCCAGGACACCTGAGGGGACAGCCCGTTGTGAAATGCCTTTGGGCAGCTCTCTGTGGCTGGTCCCGGGCCTGGGATGGTGCCTGGGGTTTGCAGGCATTTTCCTGAGACATTTCTCACCCTTATTTTGGAATGTGAAAGATAATTTTGTGGACAAAAGGGACTGTTTCATGACCTGGGAGGCCTCCTGAATCAGCACCTGGAATGCCAGCTGCGAGAGGAGCTGGAGGTGGGGCTGGTAATGTCCTTGTTGGTGTTTCCCTGCGGATGGAAGGTTTGCAGGCTTGGAGTCCCACCCCAGGGATCTGTGTCAGGGCTTTAGAGATGCTGGCTTTCACACGCAAAACCTCACAGGTGGCTCCCAGGACTTACAGGGGGCTGCCAACAGGCTGTGAATGCGCACACTGACATCCCAGCTCTGCCCTCAGCCCCTCTGCTCCCTACAGACAAGGTCCATGTCCCCTCCCTGGGCAGCCCGAGGGGCCCCCTCCAGCCGCAGGCTCTTTGGTGGCCCCGCTGCTCCCCTTATCTCTGCAGTGCTCTTACCTTGCTGGCGGGCTTCCAGCTCTTTCATTTCCAGGTCATGAGTGAGCTCTGGAAGAGAAACCAGACAGGGCTGAGAGGGAGCATCCCTCCCACCCATCCCATGTGCTTGCCGTGGTCACCGCGGTGGTGGCACTGGCACTGCCTCTGTCCAGCCCTTGGCGTGAGTGTGGCCGTCCCAGAGCACCAGCCACAGCCTGAGCCCGTAAGGCAGTTCCAGCAATTTATACGTATTAGGCAGCCCTGGGATCTGGCAGCGGCCCCTGCGACGTGGCCACGGCAGCGTGCGCAGGTCCTGCCCCACGTTACTCCAGCAATGCCTTTGCCTTTACTAAGAGTTGCTGAGCCATTTTTGGTGCTTTAAATCAGGACAAAGAGCAGAGCAGCTGGCTGAAAATAGACCAAAGTGTGAGCTGCTGCCACCAGAAGCATTCCATAATTTACTGCTTCCAGGCTGATCCCTGCCTCTGCACGTGACGCAGGTGGGACGGCCTCGTCCCACACCATGTGCCTGCAGGAGGATGCTGCCCTGCTCCACAGGCACCGTGCAGCTTCCACATCCCCCCCTGGGCTGGCCACTGGGACTGGCAGGGTCTGGGGTTCGGGTGCAGGCAGCTGCAGGCAGAGCTGCCCCCTGCCTACACTGCACCCAGCAGCAGCAGCATCCTGCAGGGATGAGCCCATCGCAGGCCTGCAGCCCTTGCCTGCTCCCTGCCTAGCCCCGGGCTACGAAACCAGCTCAAAAGGGAGCTCAGGGCTTTTTGGAGCTCACTTCACCCTGCACCCCGTTACAGACAGCCCCATGAATTAACTGTCCCAGCCCACCCAAGCACCAGCCCCTCCCAGGGGAGGAGGAGCGGGGCAGCAGCAGCAGCATTCACTTGTTTTGAGGCTTTTTTTCCCTTGAAAATGAGCTCAAACGGTTAATCTTTGCCCTACATTTTTCTTTTAATCTGCTTTCACGTTGAGTGTAATCCTCATCGCTGCCACCCTTCTGAAGCAGAGCGCTTGGCTCAGGCTGCTCTGCCCGTCTGCCGTGGAAAACAAACCTGGAGCGGGAAGCAGAAGTAACCCAGCACGTAATGCAGTTTCTGGAAAGCTTTCAGCACTCCCGACTGCCCATTGGAAATCAATGGGACGCTGGTGCTCTTCTGAAGCTACAACAATAGGTTTGGAGCCTTGGATACATTTCAAATGACAACTAAAGGAGTTGCCCGTTCCCAAAGCAGACGCGGCCCTGCGGGGCGAGAACACAACCCGGGGCCCGGCTTCTGCGCTGGAGCCATGGGGGCTGCTGGGAGCCTCACGGAGCTCCTCGGGATGAGGAGGTGGCAGCTGGGGCACAGCTCTGGGGGGGGGCACTTCCAGGGGGTGCTGCGGATGTGTGAGGTCTGAACCGTCAGCGCAGGGCACAGCAGCATGGGCAGTGCTGGCTTAGCCACCGGGCTTCCCCCTGCAAACAGCACCACCGGGCATCAGCACTGAAACCTCACCTTAAAACTGAGCAGGGCTTTGCCCCATCGCCCCGGGAGAAAGGGCCTTGCAGAGCCACACACCTCAGAGCAGGGTGTCAGCCCTGTCTGCTCACACTGCTGTCATCTGGTCACAACAGGACGAGGAGATCACTGACAACCCACCGTGCACAGGCTCAGTTCTGCCCCTGGGGACTCAGAACCCCCTACCCTGATTTAGGTACAAAACCTCTTCTGTTTCTCCTATCTGGAGACACCATGGATGAAGGCATTAAAACGGTGAAACAGAACAGCAAAAGCTTGGAAAGGATGGGGAAAACCAGCCAATTGTATCACTGCAGATACTCCTTCGTTTCCCAGGAATCAGGGAGGGTGAGAGGCTGAAGACAAGGAGCAATTAGCTACGGCTGAATTATTGATGTGGGCGACGGCACGAGTTGGGATGAGTTTCAACGGCGGGCTGGAGGCTGCGAGGGGAGGAGGTGGCATTGCTGCAGCGGGGCCGTGCTGGGGGCTGGCTGCTGTGCACCCCACATCTGCAGCGGTCCCTGAGCCCCTCGGCAGGCGTGGGGCCGTGCTTCCCGGGGGCTTGGAGCTCATCTGGTGCAGGCCAGCCCCAGGAGCTTCCCCACCCAATGTGCTCCATGGGCATGCAGCTCCCACACGCAGGGAGCACCCCAGCGCTCACCTGAGCAGTGCTTCTGCAAGCGGAGGATCTCCAGGTGCAGGGCATGGAGCAGCTCCATCTGCTCCTTCTTCAGGAAGGCGATGTGCCGGTGCACGCTCTGGATCTGGTGCTCCAGGGACACGGTCTCCATTGCAACCAGATTCGCTGTCCAGGCCTGTGGGGAGCAGAGGAGGCTCATGATCAGCAGCATGCAGGTTGTGAGCCCCGTCCCCGGAGACCTTGCCAGGGGCAGAGCCCACAGGGTGATGCTGCTCTACCCTTTCCACAGGGATGTGCAGATCCCTTGGGAATGGCCCCCAGCCTGCCCCAGCTCCATCCTGCCTGTACCCGGGCTGGGGGCTCAGAGGCTGCACAAGGAGATGCTGCTGCCATCGGAATGGATCATTTCTGTGTTGACTTTGGCCTTAGGAAATGCTCCTTCACTGAGCAGGATTGCACTGGGACAGGACTGCTCCCCACAGCCCCCAGCTGGGAGCTGCACCAGAGGCGATGCTGGCTCTCACTTGACAAGTCACATATTACACAGCAGCAGCTGCAGACAGATCTACCCAGGGAAAGCACAGAATGCTCGCTCTGACCGGAGCCCTGGCAGGAGTTGTGCTGTCTTCCTGTGTTGTCGGGGTCCATCACCACGTGTTGATGGCTACAGGAGCTGCCTACCTGAGCCGCTGCACCAGGAAGGGAAAAATAAACCCCCAGAGGACCCTTAATCCTGGGAAACACCTTTCTGTGTGGATGTGGAACCCGTCCTCACTGCCCGCAGCCAGCCCAGAGGGAGGAGAAGCTACAGCAAACTGAGAACCTGGCAGTGCCGGGTTAATGGTTGGACCTGGGGATCTTAAAGGCCTTTTCTAAGCTAAACAATTCCATGGGGAGATGTGGCAGGAAGCCTGAGGGGCAGCGTGCACTGTCCTGTCCCTGGGAAGCTGCTCCATCCCCTCCTTCACGTGCATCTGACTTCAGTTTCCTTTCGACAGGAATTTCAGAACTAAGGAGCGCTTTAGCTTGTGCTCTGCTCACCCAGCACCACCACGCACAGCATTCGGAGGCAGGTCCTGCCACCAAATTGAATCGAGCTGCACTTAAAATCCGTTCCACAGAAAGGGGTCTTGGCAGTGCCCCGCGTTCCTGCCAAAGCCTCTCTGACCTGTGCTAACCTTAAACCCAGGTCTTGATGTTCGTGCTTATTTCTGGAGGCAAAATAATGACATTTTCAGCTCTGGGATGGCTCTGCTGCTCAGGAACGAAACATTCCACACATTCACTCCATGAACGTGATGGATAAGCATGGGAAAGGCTGGTGTGATACCTAAAAGCAGCAGATACAAAGGTCCTGCTTCTCAATCAAGGCAATTATTGCAGGAAGTAAGATTTATACTGGCTTAAAGCTTCCCTGTGGAACAACGTCATGGAAGTGAAAACAGCCCCGACCCAGCCTGCATAGCCCTGCCTGGGGGAATGTGCTTGGGTGCTCTGGGCAGGGATCTGCAGCCCTTCCGTGCTGGGCTTTCTAGAATGGAACCGGGGGGGGGAAGAATCTAGCTCTAGACTTAACTTCCCAATCATCCCTTTCCTTCTGAGCGGCAAGCTGATGATTCTGAAGCCTTTAAGTCCCCAGCCTTTCCTGACAAGGAGTTGTAATTAACAGACAGGAGACACGACGATGATGGGGGTTCGCTAAGGTGTGAGGGGGTGTTGGAAGTGATGGAAGTCACCTGGAGCCTGCCACAGGCTGGGAACACAAATCGTGTTAGGGCACACACCCCCTGCCACCCTGCGGGGCTGTGGAAGAGCCATGTGCTGGGCTCCGGAGCTGCTTCATGATGGGAGTTGTGGCACCTCGTCTTGGGAAGCACAAGAAAGTAGGTTGGACGAAGCCCCAGGGACACGTAGTGCTATTTTCAAGCACTTTGTTCTGTCTGGTGGAAATGGCTTTAGTAGAAATGGCTGCAAATTTTCCATTGAACTTTGCCTCCTGCCTTTAAGTAGGAAATTACCCTTTTTACCAATGAACATGTTTTTCTTGAAAAAGAAAACGTTGATAAATATCAACCTGAAAAGGAAGTCAGAGGAAAAACATCTGGGATTGGGATGTGTTTGTTGTCTCTGCTTCGGAGGATGAAAAGCCTGCATAATTTACCTGTGTGTGGGGAGAGGGGGAGTCTGTTTCCAAAACTGCCATAGGAAATCCTTAGCGGGTTCGGAGCAGCTTTGCCTGTCCTGTGGCTTCCACTGCTTCCCTCAAGAAACAGGTCTCAGCTTGCAGCAGGAGGAACGTCAGAGCTGTCATGGCAGGGGAGGGCACGTTGCTTTGCCTGCATGGAAGCTCCCGCCGGCAGCAGGACATGGAGGGAGGGCAGGAGCTGCCTTCCCAGGCAATGGGGCACAGTGCTGGACATGTGGAAAGCAGTGATGGGGAGTTCCAGATCTGTCCTGGGGCTCCTGTGCCCCTTCCAACAGGCTTGGGGGCTACATAGGGTGACCAGAGGCTGCTGCTGCTTCACCACCCACAGCCCACAGGTGAAGGGAGGAACGAACTGTTCCACATTGTGGCCATTGGACCGCTCTGTGTCACACACAGGTTGTGATGCAAGAGCTGAGAGCTGTTAATGGAGCTGTAATTTGGTCCTGAGGCTTCATCAGCATCTGTTTCTGTCTGAGGGTTTCTGCTATTGCCAGAGGCAGCAGCAGAGGCCGTGTCCAGCCCTTATCCCAAGGGGTTTCAGAACCAAACTCTTCTGATCTCTTTCCTCCAGTGCTTCCCAAGTCAACTGGAGATTGCAGCAGCAGTTTGAGCCTTTAGTCTGGTGCGTGCCCGTGGTCATTTCACACAGCACAACCACTCGGGAGGTGTTGGGAGTTAATAGGGATTAGCTGCTGACTGACTTAATGCTTTACCGGGCCACGGCGTCTCCCAGCTCATCAAGCCAAAGCTCCCCATGTCGAGGGCTTCAAGGCACCCAGCAAGTGCTGATAACCACATTTCTATGCGCCGAAGCAAGACAGGAACCTTCAGCTTGTGCCAAAGACACAAGAGCCAAAGCACAGTGACTGCTTATGAGAACTCGTGTTTCACAAACTAAAAGTACTGGAGGAGCCTCCTGAAATAGCTACAATCACCGATTCAGCTGGAGGTCTGCAAAGAGCTGATTGCCTTTGCACAGATTGTGTGAGCATTTGCTTCCAGGACAAAAGTATACCAAAGTCCAAAGCCTGTTTAATGCCCATCAGAATCCCACAAATTTGATCCAGATTAAAACCCCTCAGTTGCTGATGATGCATTCGAAAGGCAGATGCAGCCTGTACACAAAACCCAGCACAAACATCGTCACGCCAGGATCCAGCCCTCACCCATGTACTCATTTCCCCCCATAAATAGCAAATTAACTGGAAGTCAGAGGGCACAAGCAAGCTTTGCAGGAACAGGTCAATAATTTATCCTGCTATGGTTGCCAGCACCCCCCTCTCCATTGCACTAAAACATGCACAGGGATAAACACTGATACCCATTAGGAATCCATACTGCTCAGAATTTACGATCTCAGAGAACACAAACACAAACTTTGCAACAATGCCACGGAGCAAGCGCGCCTTTAAAGGGAAGCGAAATAAGGCAGCAGGAAGCTAAGAAACTCACAGAAGGTCACAGAGGTAGTGGCAATGCCAGGAATAGAAACTAGAGGTGAAATCCTGGCCTTGGGAAAGTCAGTGCGAAACCTTCCCTGATCTCAGCAGAGGCGGAATTACTCGGAGCTCTATTTGCTATTCATTCTCTATCAGTATCTATTTAAAGATGAAATCAGTGCAAATGCTGATCATAAATTACTGCGTTTTCTCACAATTCTCTGAGCGCAGCTGCCTGCCAACAGCCGAAGCTGGAGCTTCTCATCCGGCTGCGGGTGCCTTCTCCCGCCGCTCCAGGGGATGAGCAACGGGCTCAGCTCTGCGTCAGGAGCAGGACCGGGCCCGGCAGCTCCGGATCCATCACCCCCGAAGCGGGCGGAGCCGCCCCGCGCTTTGGGGGATCCGGTTGCGACGCCTCCCGGTGCCCGGCTGAGCCCTCCTGCCGACACCCAGCGGCGCGGGCAGCCCCCGCCGGGCCGGGCACAGCGAGCGGCCGCTGGGTACGAGCGGGGGAAGCGGCCCCGGGGCGGGCGCGGGAGGCGCCGGGGCACCGCGGGCGGGACAGCGCCGCCGCCACCGAGCCCTCCCCGCCGGCCCCGCAGCAGCCCCGCGCCCTGCCCCGGGCCCTTACCTGGGGGGAGCGGCGGGGCCCCGGGGGGTGCCCGCTGGGCGTCATGCGGCGAACGCGGCGGCGGCGGGGCCGGGGCCGGGGCCGGGGCCGCGCCGGGCTCCTGCGCTGCCCCGCGCTGCCTGCGGCGGCCCCGCCTCACCCGGCCCGGCCCGGCCCCGCCGCCCGCCGGCAGCCGCGCCGTAAACAGGCGGCAACGTGACCGGAACTGGGGAGCTCCGCCGGGGCGAGGCGCGGGCGGGCGGGGACCGGCGGGAGCCTGCGGGGCGCGGCGGGGCCGGGGAACAGCGCCCGGTTCACCCCCCCCGGCTCATCCCCCCCTTTGCATCCCCCTCCGAGGGTCCCCATCCCCGGTCATCCCCTCCGGTGCTCCGCCGGGTTCCCCCCCCGGCGCCGGACCGGGGCTCCGCTGGTCCCCTCCGCTGTCCGCGGTGCTGAAGGCGGCCTCCGCAGCCGCCTCCTGCCCTGCCCGGAGCAGAGCGGGGCCCGGCCCCGGGATCCGGGGCATCCCGGCGGGTACCGCGGCTCGGGGGGATGCGATTCAAGCGGGGCACGGTGAGGGAACCGGCGGGACGAGCAGAGCTCCCCAGGAGCTACACTGGGGGGGGGAGTTCTCATGTGGTTACTGGTCCCCCGTGCCCTTTGTCTGCGGTACCCAGAGCAGCTGGGGCCCTGCTTCCACAGATGACTCAATTCATTGCACCTCTTGCACAGCAGGGAAGCACAGATGCAGCGGCCTGTTCCATGCTCACGGCAGTGCAGGCACAGGGAGATGGTAGCGTCCTCCCCGTCAGCTGACAGTCTGATGATTCCCCTTCCCTTAAACCAAAACTGCTCCAGGGAGCACAGTGCTCCTGGAATGGTGCTCAGCTGGGTTGTGCTGCCATCCTCACATTAAACCTGCTGATGTTCTGTGTGTATCAGCTTTCAGCACACAAGCAGCATGTGGATGTGCTGCAGGGCAGCCCATAGGGGATTGTGGAATCATTTTGTCATCCCACATCCTGTTCTTCCCTCAGATGGTTCAAACCTCTGTCTGCGTGCCTGTGCTGCACAGAGTGACCGAGGCTGTGTGGTGGGGAAGAGCCCTGCCTCATCCGTGCGGGGGCAGGCAGACAGGAGCATACAGTGGGTGCAGTATGGTGGGTTCATCACATCCCTGAGCTGTAACAGCCACAGGCTGGCTCCTCGCCTGGCACCAAGTAGTATGGCACAGGCTGGCGTGGTGCTGAGGGCAGAGCAGGGCTGGGCTTGGACTTAGGGCTCTTCCTCAGAGTGTAAGTTTAGGCCATGCTAAAAAAGAACTCATTAGATCAGGAGAAGAGGTGACCATGAGGTGTGATGGTCTGCACGTGCACACACAAGCTTCTGATTTGCAATGAATTATTCAGACATCTCTGCTCAATCAGCGCAATGAGAGCTTCAGTGCTTCCTAACACTCATCCTATCACACTGATCCCTGTGTGGGCCCCAGGTTGTTGAGAGGTGAAGGATTCATGTGTAAAGGAGGAGAGTGCAGACTTTATCACTCAGAGAAGTATTGTTTCATTAGGAGAACCTCTCACCCATCCGTAACCATTAGGTAAATGCTTGCCATGATGTGTCTGCCCCTCTTGGTGCAGCTTGTGATGTTTGGGGGGCTGTTTTTAATGTCCCACCGTGTCTTCTCCTGACTCGTGTGCTAACCTGAGCAGCAGTGATTTACAGATGGGGGGGGGGGGGGGGTTGGGGAGATGAAGGGGAAGCTCTCAGTGCATCATGTTTCACCACGTTTACAACTTTCATTGATTTTCCACTGAACAACAGGCAAGCCTGTGCACAGCCAAGGTCAGGCATTTGGGGACAGGGGACAGGAAATGAGGCCATGGCCCCAGGATACAGCAGCAGGAGGCAGCGGGGCATAGCACATCCTCTGCACCCTGCATGGCACGGGGTGAGGCCGGCTCCCTCTGCAGCAGCTGGCAGCTTGGATTCAGCCACAGTGCACACATGCTGTTAACATTTACCATCATCTCTCCTGCTTTCTCTCACCGTTCCACTGTGAGCTGGTCTCACCAATAGCCTTTGCTCACAGAGAGCTGCTCTTGGCTTTTTTTGACTCACTCTCTGATAGGTCTGAGGTTGGTTGTGATCCACAGAGGACAAAAATGGCAGGAATACCATTTCAGCCTTAAAAGGAGTTATGGGGTCCCTGCTGCCAGCCCACATGTGTGATGGAGCTCTGGAGGCTGTCAGGCAGAGCTAGCCTGCTCCTCGCCTGTTGTACCACATAGAACCATAGGATATCAGGTTGGAAGGGACCTCAAGGATCATCTTGTCCAGCCTTTCTAGGCAAAGCATGACCTAGACTAGATGTCCCAGCACCCTGCCCAGCTGAATCTTAACAGTGTCCCGTGTTGGGAAGTCCACCACTTCCCTGGGGAGATGATTCCAATGGCTGATTGTTGGGAGACATCCAACTGCAGTGCATCCTGAAGGAGGGTGCTGGAGGAGGCTGTGCTCGCTGCGACCCCTTGGGTGCAGGCAGGGTGGCAGCAGTGGTGTGACAGTGGTGGGGTGACAGCAGCGGGGCGCAGGGGCCAGCAAAGACCCATGTGAGCCCTGCAGCCCCGGGGTTTGCTGCAGAGACCCGGCTATCCCCTGGGGAAGCCGCCCTGGAGAGAGGAAGGAGGCGACTGCAGAGCTGCAGAGAGGAGCTGCAGAGAGGAGCTGCAGGCAGCGGCAGCAGCTCTGCCGTGCAGGGCTGGGCGCAGGCAGCTGCCTGCAGCTCCGTACCGGCACTGACCTCTAGCGGCAGCGGTACCGGCAGCGGTACCGGCAGCCGCGGCTCGCCGAGCGCCAGAGCCGGGGCGCGGTGGGTGCGGGTGGGTGCGATGAGGGTGCGGGTGGGTGCGATGAGGGTGCGGGTGGGTGCGATGAGGGCGCGGGTGGGTGTGAGGGTGAGCCCGGCCCTGTCAGGCTGCAGCACGGAGCTGGGCACCGCACCAGCGAGCTGAGCCCTGGCCCTGCCGCCCTGCAGAGGGGCAAGATGAGCTCTGCACCACGGCCTTGCTCGGGGCCTCTGTGTGACACTGAGGTCGGGTTTGATCACATCTCAGCTGAGGAACTCGTCCAGGCAGGGCACGTAACCGCCGCGGTCATCTCCCACTGCACTTGCAGCTCCTGGCCGTGCATCCACATCTCTTTCCGCTGGCTGCAGGAGCTGGGGGCCGTGAGGCTCTGCCTGCGGCTCTGCCATGGTTAAACACCTCCTGTTAGCACAGGCCAGCTCACGTCAGAGGCTGGTCCCAGGATAAAACAGCTGCTTCCCAAAGGGAGCAAGCATCCCAGTGTACATGGAAGTTAAACCTGCATCCCATGCTCTTCTTGTGAGCTGGGTGCTTTTAGACCACGTCTTCCCCCTCCAACCCTGAGTTAATTATTAGGGGAATTGTTGCATTTAACTTAGAAATTAGTTTAACTGTGCCTCAAATGCTGTTTTTCACCCTAGTTGAAGCACAGTGTGTGTGTGTCTTCTTACTGCTTTGAAGAACCTAATAAGAAGCTCCTTAAAGTGATGCAAGGCTAAAAGCTAAAGGGTTTTCATAAATTTAACATTAGCTTAACACTTCCACCGGGATTTCAGAATACCAGACTCGAGCCAAGTAATGCAATTGCTGCCTCTCCAAGGCGCTGTTCCTCTGCCTGCTGGGCTGGGGGTGCTGGGGGGGTGCTGGGGAAGAGACCCATGATGCTCACCCAGGGCAAAGAGCTGTGAAATAACAGGACAAAGCTGTCCTGGCTCTGGGGATGCCCAGTTGGGATCAGCCCGGAGATGCAAAGGGGGACATGAAAGATGCTGGATGCACCAGCGTGTTTGTGCCACATGAACGCTCCTGTTTGTTAACTCCCTCACTGTTGTAGAACTTTTTCCTTTTAAAAAGGAAAATAAAGGTTTTGTTTCTAAATCTCTCAGGTGTGCAACACCCGGTGTGCTGGGGGTGCCCGGGCTCCAGGGGTGGGAGGCAGAGCTTCGGCCTCCCCTGCACCCCTCCTATGGCCTTGCGTTCCCATTGCTGCTTCCCTGCCCGGGACCTCTGGCAGCAATGCTGACACTGGGGAACAGCCTGAGCTGTGAGGGGTCAGTGTGGGGCTGGCCACAGCTCTGCCCTACCAGGGACCAGCTCCATCATTCCCACCAGCCTCTCCAGCTGGCGCAGCAAAGCTGCCCTTTGCTCCCGACAAGGGGCGGATGGGATGGAGGCAGCAATGCCTTTCAGGTGCGTTGGTTTAAATTCTGGTTTAAATGGATTGTGGGTGCAGCATTTGGGTTTGCTGTGTTGTGAAGTTAAGTCCTCAGGGGTTGGAATAGCCAGGATTTGGAGCCAGAACATTGGTTCTGAGAAGCAGCTTTTAGTGGGCTTGGAAGCTCCTTGAAATAGCATCTCGGCATGCTCCTGGGCTGTTTCCTGAGCACCACGGGCATCCTGTAACCCTGCGTACCCTATAGCTCTGGGGGGCTCGGGAAGGGACCCCCACTTAGGCAGACAGCAGGTTTTAGCTTTCAGTCTGTGGAGAGTACTTTCTGTTCAGCATTCCTGGACCTCCTGCAGGGGAGTTCTGCTGGGTTGTTTGTGGGTTCCTAAGGGTGAATAAGGACCAGTGGGAGAGCCGGGGTCCAAGGGGCGGCTGCAGCCCCGGAGCCTGCCCTGGTGTGGTGCTGGGGGGCTCAGGACCCCGTCGCTGGGCTCCGTTCCACCGGTGGCTGACCCGGGCACTTCGTGCCGCTCGGCTCAGGCTCCGTTGTCAAACGGGCGGGGCCGGGGGAGCGGCGGGGGCTGCGGGCCGGGAGCGGAGCGGATCCCCGGGGCTGCCCCGGGGGGCGGGCGTTGTGTAAGGTTTACGTAACGGGGCACGGCGGTGTGACACCCCCCACCCCGGTCCCCCCGTGCCGAAGGAGGCGGCAGCGAGCAGGAGCCGGCGCGGCGGGACCGGGACCGGACCGCGCTGCGGGACCGGGGCTCTGCGGAGGGGCTCCCCGTTCCGCGGCATGGCCTCGGGCAAGGCGGCGGGGGAGCGGCGCTGGGAGCTGGTGCGCTGGTGAGTGCGGGGCCGGCGGTCCCGGTGGA